TTCAATCATTTCAACATAACAGGGTAAGTTTTTAAAACAAATATTAATTTTACCTGAAGGAGACACCTTATTTACAGTGCATGATATGGCATAGTTAGATAAATAAATATACTCTCATACCAATTTCCCTTCCACTGGAAGTTCCAGTTGCTTATCTGCACATTACACTTAGAATGAAGATTTTAAAAACGTTGTACAGTCTTACCTGTGTGTCACTATACTAAATGTTAAATCACAAAATGATTTGTGAACTACAGTACAATGTTAGTCATGCCCAACTGGCCTTGGAAATAGACCCCATGTCAACCAAAATTCCACTTAATTTGGGAAACCCTGATTACAATTTGACCGGAAGGTATTTTTACAGGTAAAAGCATGCTGTCTTTCGGAAAATGTTTCTTTGTTCAAAATACATACTAACCTGACAATCAGTCTCAAAATATGCTTCTATTTGTAGATAATATTTGTTTATTTCCAAGCGTCACTGATCTTCAATTCGACGAATGTTTACAAGAATCGAAAGTGAAAGTTGGAATTCCCAACAAATTTTTAGTAGCTCGATCATAAATATAGCCTATGGGATTAGTGCAATTCGCAGAACTGATAATTAGGGCAAAGTGGATTGCTTTATTCTTAATACTGTCTCTGGTGACCTGTCAAAAACATGTTAAAGAAATGTTTGAGAGGGAGTGGTTTTGATCTACAATTTTGAGTAGGCTGGGGTGGATTATTTTAAAAAGGTGGGAAAGGAAGGAAAAAGGGGGGGGGGGGAGTATTAGCGGCAAAAAAAGTAATTTTTTCAAAAAATACATAATAACTAAATTTAATAAAATAACAATAATAATAATAATATGGTTGTGAATTTAGTGCATGAGATACTAATAGCAGATAGGATATTCATATATTTTAATATCAATTTTATATTTCTATATCATTGATGTCAACATTATTTAATTAGAAATAAGTTAAAATCTACTTTGTTTTACTCAATTTGTAATCAATTAAAGCATCCTTGACATTTCATTAGGCCTAGTCAGGCCCGTAGGAAGCAATTTCAGTTGGGGGGGGGGGGGGCACAGCCGTACATTTTCTGTTGAAGGGGCACTACCAACTATCCCGTGCCCCCCCCCCCCCCCGGTACCTAGGGCCTTGCTAGTTATTTGCATAACTATGTACTTTCTCCTATTTAAGTGAGAAACAGTAATTTCTGGTAACCAATACTGCTCTGTCTTTGAATTTTTTCTTTAAAAGCCGATAAATGACTGGTACACTATGTTGAAAATGAAATTGATAAACTCGATACTTACATCTGTCTGTATGCAATAGAATTTTCTCAATGTCTAAAAAAAAAACAAACATTTTCCTTAGTGTATAGAGGGTCCTTAAAAATTCACATCCTATAGCCCTTCTAGATTCATCTTTTTATATATTCCTATGTAAAATTTTGATCGCCCATTAATTGTAGATCCACCCTATCATGGGGTCATGATTTGAACAAAGTGAATCTACTCTACCTTAGGATTTTCCCCATGAATATGACTAATACATGTAATAACTTTGCTGTTCCTGGGAAAAATATTTTAAAATATTTTTTCCTATATCTACCCATGTAAAACTTAGTTTGCCCATATTGACGCCACCATATCCCCGGGGTTAATGATATGAACATAATAAACAAACTTTAATCTGCACTACCTGCTTCCATATAATGAAGTTAATTTAATCTTTTCTGACCCAGTAGTTCTTGAGAAGATTTTTAAATGACCACACCCAATTTTTACTATTTATTAATTATCTACCTTTGGTAAAGGGTGTGGCCCTTCATTGAACAGACTGGAATCCCCTTTACCTAAACATACTTTGTGCCAAGTTTGGTTGAAATTGGCCTAGTGGTTCTGGAGAAGAAGATAAAATTATAAAAAGTTTAGACGAAGACGACAAATACAGCGCGTTAACGACAGCGACAGACAATTTACGGACAAATTTTGATCAGAAAAGCTCACTTGAGTCTTCAGCTCAGGTGAGCTAAAAATTATTGGTTGATTTTGATTTTTTAGTGGATATTAACAGCTAGAGTCAGTTGTATATTTAAGGGGGGGCACCCCCCCCCCCTCAAAAAAACTGTCAAAGTTAGCGTAAATCTTAGTTTCGTCAAGAAAATGTAAAAATGTCTACCCGGTAAACCTCATTTTTACCATACAAAATCTCTAGAATCCAGGAGCTTCCGGGGGCTTCGCCCCCTTGGTCCCCTCCAGGGCTTCGCCCTGGACCCACTGGGGGCCTCAAGGTGGCCCCAGACCCCCTGCCTACTTTCTGCGCCCCCCTAACTTCATTTCCTGGATCCGCGCCTGAGAGTGTTCCAAGGAACGCATGTGTCGCCTGCTATGTTGCTTCATTAAAGATGTATATAAATCTTAGAGTGGTCAGCTATTTATTTAACTCTACTAGCATGATAATTCATGCATTTGCCCGCAAAGAAAAAAATTCAATGAATAGTAGAAGACTGCGATAGAATCTGACAAAGATAAGATGATTCCCCAACCCTCAAATGAATAATTAAATTGAAGTAATTAGAAATAATTATTTATCATTTTATTAATACGTGTTTCCAACAATCTTTCAAATAAGATATCAGTCTGTCTTTACTCATCCTCACAATGTCAGGGGTCCTGAGTCAACACGTTGCCGTTGGACCCCTGACAAATCTTGCGGGCTGACTGCTGACGTCTTTCGGGAAAATTATTAAATCTAGATTGTTTTTCTTATCTCTCAATCAATCATATTAAGCCTTCTGGTGATAAACAATACAGAAGGGGACGACCATATGATTCTGATGGAGGGTACCTAGCAAATTTTACCGGGTCAGATTATTTATTTTCATGTCGGTGAAGGACAGATTATTTATATCAAATAAGATCAAGGACAGGTTATTTATTTTCTTCTTCACTGAAAAAAGTATGACAAGCAAAAATAAATAAATAAAATAAAATAAAAAATAAAAATAAATAAATAAATAAAAATAAATATTAAAAAGGAAAACATCAAAGTCCAAAACTCTAATTGGGGGGGGGGGGGGTTACTAGCACTAATCATGGACAGATTATTTATTTTCTTGCCCAGTCGAGGACAGATTATTTATTTTCAACATTTTCGAGGACAGACTATTCATTTCCAAAATCCCCCCCCCCCCCCCGAATCAAATGGTTGTCCCCTAACACGTGCATTTTTTTGTGTCAACTGATTCCTTTCTGTTTACATTATCTGTCTACTTCAATTTTATTGGTGATTCTCAATGAGAGAAGCAAGCCCAAATAAAACGAATGAAATTTGTCAGGGGTTCTATTGGTAACGTGTTGACTCATGACCCCTGTCGTTGTGAGGATGGTCTTTACTGTACATGTAATTGTCAGTCTACGTAATCCATTGTGGAATACCTTTTCATAGTATTTATACATAAGAAGTTTTAAAGTACAATAAAGCTCATAGACACGTATAAATGCTAATTCTAAAAACCCAGCCTCTCAAAATTCAAAAGTCAGAAGTTAAATTAAACTGCCCGAGGTATTTTTTGCAAAGTAGGTCAAAGGTCAAGATCAAGTGCATAGTAATGCTGGTATTTATCATAATATCATAATTATATGTTTATCATAATATGATAAATACCAGCATTACAATAAACGTTTTATCAAAAAGACTGCACATGCTAAGTATAGCATAGACTTGCCTCTTAAATGTCAACAAGCAAATTCAAAGAATTGTGGTCCCCCACTTTCTGTGTCTTAGTGGATGGGATGCCATATTATTATTGGTATATTGTGTCAAATATGAATGTCCTATCTTATGTCATTCTAAAGTAATCACCAAAGTTAAAATTTTTGAAAATTAGGTCAAACATGTAAGTCAAGGTCAAAATATACTCGTACAGCATATTTTGTCCCCCGCTTTCGCGAAAGCAAGGGGACATTAAATCTCATTCGTCTGTCCGTCTGTCATAAAGACTTTGACCTTGGTCAAAACTTTTGAAAGAGAAAAGATAGGACTTTCATATTAAATATGTATATTACCTGTGGCAAGACTTTTTCTAAATATACTATGATTTTTGACCCCGTGACCTTGAAGTTTGACCTATTTTTCAAAAATGTTATCTTTCCTCATAAATTTTGATTGACAAGAGATAGGGCTTTCATATTTGACATGAGCACTACTTGTGACAAGATGTTTCCGAGCATGTTATGATTTTCGACCCCTTGGCATTCATATTTGACACAATATGTCAAAAATAATGGAATCCCATCCACTAAGACACAGAAAGCGGGGGCCACAGTTCTTTGAATTTGCTTGTTCATTTGGTTTGTCCGAACTCACGAATGCATCTGAAAACATCGTTATTAAAATTTTGGTTATCATCCATCTGACACGTTGTGTAATATTTAAATTTACTAAATGCTCATTTTTTCCTGGTAAACCGTAATTTCCCACTTCTTAAATACTCCGAAATAAATGACTTATTGTTTAAGTAGGTGCAATGCTTGTTCCTAAACATCGCATAAAATGAGAAAAAAAGTGTGATACAGCAAGGGCGGATTCGGGCATTTTTCTGGGAAGGGGTCGTTAATATTGCCACTCAAAAAACCCAGACATGCAGAGAAAATCGCCAAACCCGTGGCGGGGGGTTACCGTGAATGTAGTGTAGCTTTTACAGATAAATAACCCAACTTCATGTACATATTTTTTAAAGATTTTACGCAGAGTTTTAAGTCACTAATGTAAATTTCTAAATAACCTTAGCTCCCAGCCTGCTGTTCTGCTGTATTTAAAATCTTGGAAATTAAATCATGCTAACAATTGATATTCGAAAATTCTCTACACAAGGAAATCCCTCGGTGGCTTGAAACTTTGCGTTTGGACAAAATTCTTTATGGAAAAATAATTCATGAATACTTGAATTTCATTTAATTGTAATATATGAAACAATAATTAATTATGATGTATTATTTTACCTGCAACAGTTATTTTCTGCCATGTTGATGGAAGACACGTATAGACGGTGATATAATTCAAAATTAAGAAAATATTTTCAATCAGTTATGTTCCATAAACTATGAAGCTGTCGGTCGCCTAGTTCATCAATTAAGTGCTGCAATACTAACCCCCCAGAACAAAGCCAAGCAGGAAATCTGGATCATGCAAAAAGGAAATGTTTCCCTAAAAAATACCCCGCACTCTACAAAAACGCTTCAACAAACTGATACCACCTAACTTCCTTAATTATCTCGGTTGATGGGACAAGAAGTTGTTTTGTCATGTAAATTTTTAATTTAAATTCATAATGGGTTGTTTTATTTGTTTATAACTTGAAATTAATTCCTACGATGTTGCAATAAAAATGGCATTGATTCAAACTTGCGGAATTTCCCTTCAATTCTGCTGATCTTGTGGGTTAAAAAAATTATTTCCCAAATACATGTGCTTTTTTTTAATTTTTATTCTGGTCCAGTTCACAAGCGTAAGAAGTAAAAAATGAAAAAAAAAATCTTCCTTTGCTCAATAAATTAACTTGAACTTGTTTTCTAAATAGAACTTTTACAACTGCAAGGCAAATTATTGCCCCTGACCAGACTCATGATACATCAAGACATTTATGATCTTACCAATTCTACAAAAGATCGTTTTCATCAGTTTTTTTTCTTTGTATGTAACATTTTCCCTCAAACTTGACATATGCATGCAATATATTTTTTTTTTAAGTTTTGGGGTACAGCCCCTTTTCAACTACACAAGTTGCTTTTAAAAAAAATTTTTTTTACATATAACAATTATTTTTAATATACACATGTATGCATTAAAATGAAACAACATTAAAAATTATCAATAAAAGCAAAGACAAAATTAAACTCATTAAGGTTTTAGCTTAATACTTTATCATGCATACTTTTATTCCGAATTTTAAACATTTTAAGTCATTCACAAATCAGCACAATCAGGCGAGAAAGTGCTGTGGGTGTTTACATTTATATTTATAATCGGAGGAAGGGGGTGGGGTGTAAAGGCAACACCTACAGCATTAAAATACAATGTAGAAATGGATCTGTTACGATTTTATGCTATTGCATCTTTTCAGCACAGGATACATGTAGTATATAAATTATAAATGTACACCATACAATCAAAGTTTTATGTGATATGCAATTTTTAAACCTCCTGAAGAGCGTATTTCTTCAATCTAAATGTTTAAATTAACTTTTGCAGGTGGCATTAACAACTCAATTAACAGGTCATTTTTCCTTTCACTAAGCCTAGTCATTTATGATATTTACAGAATACAATAAGAAATTGCATTTCTCTAAATAAGTTCTATGGATTCCAAATCTTTCAGAATCATCTCTTGTCCACTATGACAATAGTTTTGCTGGGGAATCCCTTCAGTTCTACAATAAGGTATACATATTCACTTTCCTTGTCTGGCTCCTATAAAATACAAAAACCAGATACTATAAATGGCCATAATGATTAAACACATGTAATTTCTGTTATTGCATGTTTCTTAATATATATTTATAGTAGTTTGTGTTTTATAGTGATAATCAAATTTTATATTATTTCTAAAATTTGACAATTAGCTACATATATTTAAAATTAACTGGAAATTCTTATGCATAAATTTCCTTTTCCAAATTTAGAAACAAGAAATCTTGCCATTGTATTATATTTTCTTATTTAGCATTGAACTATAAATAGACTGTCGTATCTGCACTTCCTTATCACAAACATGTTTAATGTTTGTAGTTACTGGAACTATTTTCTTAATTTGCACCAATTGATTCTTGCTATAAATAGAAGCAAGGAAATCAAGTATCATAGTTCAATGTCAGATGAGTATAAATAAGTTAGATTTAAATTTAGGATGGAATCCACCTTTAATATAAATACCTGTTTTATTTCAGCATACACTGTCCCTACTTTGTGGGGACTCTGGATATAAAAATTCATTCGCATATGCTTGACACCATTCACCATAAACTCTTCATGGCTGTAAACAGAAAGTAGGAAAAAAATCAAAGATTGAATGAGAATTAATTATAAATACTGGCAACAAATTAAGAACATTTATAATATACATGTATATACTGAGCTGACAAAATAAAGTTCTTGGCTTTTGGCTCAGGAGAACTGAAAAAGGGTTCAGAGTATATAAAACCTCAAAAAGTGTGCTCTGTACAGAAAAAAAGGATAATTTTGATCCAACCCTCACTTTGTGTTATACATGTACTATACATACCTCAAAAGCAATAAAGTTATCCCTTTTTAAATCTCTCTGAAAATTTATTCCTGGATTTATACTGAAAATTTATTGGACATTACAACCTAATAGGCTAAAAAGACAAAAACTTTGCTCTTAGGAAGTAAATATTAACTGCTCTGTTGTAAGCTAAAGGATCCGTTACCTAACATGCTTTCTTCTGCCTCTTCTGTCCGTCATTCCAAATACCTTGATAGGCTCTCCCATAGCATTTATCACCTGAAAGACGGTACTTTGTTATAGACTATTTGAGTCACATGTACATGTATGTACATTCATAGTGGATCTGGCTTGGTCAATTGCCATCTGAAAGCTTCATAACTGACAGACTAAAAGAATCCCCTGTGAGTGTAGAGTCAAGGGTAGAGTCATGAACATGTTCTAATATTTTTTACCCCTTGTGACCACACAATGACATGTATAGTATGCATACTAAATACTACTATAGTAGTAGTAGAGACAGCATGACAGAAATTGATTGTGTTTGTCACATTTTAAAAATACTTTCTTGTTGAGATAAGTAATATTATTGGCATATTAAATAAAGTGTAAAAGGAAGGGGTGAAATAGGATGGACCAGACCAGGATTTCAACCTAGGCCCCCTGAAATGGCCAAGAAATAGACCACCCATAATAAGTCTTAAATGAAACAACAAAACAAAATTGTTTATGTTGGCAGTTGAACACAGCTAGAGATAGAAAGATATTGCTAATCCATAGATCTGATTTACTTTGCAATGCTGTAAGAAATGTCCCAAAAATGGCTACATTTGAATCATTCATTCAATTATGTAGTACATTTGAAAATCTGCTTCATTAAAACAGATGTAAAATCTCTGACATACATGTGCCAGCAAATGTAACCATAACATCCAATATCATAATTACCCACTATCAGTAACACTCACCCTGTCATCTTTGATGCAGATGTCTGCTGCAGCGTTGTATACACTTGTTGCCCCATCTGTACCACACAGCTCCTGGTACAAGTTATAGAAGACATAGCCTAACAAAATGACAGTAAAAATATTTACATTTAAACAATTCATAAATGATTAATCACTTTGTTGAAATACTGTTAATTTTTTCTCTGGATAAGAACTCATTGTTAAGGACATATGCAACGTACATGGACATGTAGTTTACAATGTATCTTCCCCACTGATAATTTTCCAAGATATTTTTAGTTTAAAATCATAGTCCCATCACATGTTCTTAAACAGAAAATCAGCATACATTTCCAGGATTTTGAACAGATATTAAATGATGAAAATCATTGCATTTTTTGAAGGAAAATTAAGGGGAAAAAAGTTTCAGGGGGTATTTCTCCAAAATTTGAATCAGGAAAGGTGTAGAGCATTATGGGACATCATAAAATTGCACAAAGGTCACTCAGTTATTGTATCTATTAAATTATTCAGGGAATATGAAAATAAAGTTCAAAACTATGTTGCATATGTCCTTATAGGATTCTCCACACTTACCAATTACACCAGCTCCAAGAAGGATAACTCCTATATATGTCAAATCTTTCCCTGCCTCAACAACTAAATTCAAAAATATTAAATTTTAAATGAAAAATGACACTCATACATGTACATGACACAACAACATCTGTTCAGTACAACATGGTTATAATTTTTTTTCCTGCAGAGCATTTTGGTGGTTCTTTAAGCATAATAAGAGATGATTGTTTAAGGTAGTATGGGATACCTCCACGTTATGACGTATTTCCGTTTGAAGTATTGTTTTGATTTGCATGAGTGCTTATTATCGGGTCAAAATTTGTAGATACACCGTTGAAAAGAACAATCTGAAGCCTATTTCAATGCAAGTTCTCACAAGTCGGCATTTTAAGTAAAAACAGACAAAAAAATCGCAAGTATATAAATTTACTTATAATTGTACAACGGACATTTAAAAAAGCAAACCCCTGTAAAAGGTAGTTTCAACATTGCTGCTTTTGAACACTTTTAAGCAAAAGCTGTATTTCAATTGTTTGAGTAGCTGTACAGCACCTTGTGTGCGGTGAGGCATGGATAAGTGCGATTACTTCACATTGTGCTGAATTATCACCAATCAATTATCACGTTAACCAGAGCTGGACTTTTTTGTTATTTAATTCAAGAAGTAACTGTTTGGTCACAAATCAGCTAGCTATTGTATATAGTCCCAAAACGTTCAGATGAATGCAATTGCTCTGAACAAGACACCTCCTGGAAAGCGATTGTCCATGCATTGTTTTCAAAACCGCTCAAAGTTGAAAACTACAAAGTGCGATTTTTTTATGGTTGGGAAAAAATGCTCATCATTTCTAGAATAGCACCCAGGTTTTTCAACCCTTGGAAAATAAAGAAGGATAACTCTTCCGCTCGGATCTTTTAATTCAAAAAATTTTAAATGCATTTTATATTTTCCATTTATATATATATTTTCAATTTCTTTATTTCACGTTACTAACATATTAAGATACATTCTTATTGTAGACTTTCATGAATTGTTATCCGTCTGTTTTCAAGAAATAAAGTTTTCCCAGTTTTTTACGCTTATTTTTTGTTGAAAATTAAAAAAATACTAAGACATATTTCTTGTCATTTTTGTTTTTATAAACATTTTATATTAGCAAACGCCTGCCTATAATATTAAGCTTATGAAAAAAGAATTATGCAAGAAAAAAAAATCGTTTTTGTATTTCTCATTAAAATAATAAAAAAATTATTAAAATTACACTTTAATATACTGAAAGGTGGGGGTATTTCAAATCCTTCTAATTTGGGTACATAAATATGTAGGAGAAGTTTCGTTTGGTATCCCATACCACCTTAACAAGATATGATAAAAACAAGCAACAAACATGAAATTTTTTTTTTGGTATATCATATCTATACATACAGGCTTCAAGTGACATAAATATAATTTGTTTTTCTGAACATAGACCTTGAATTAAGAAATGGATTTGTCTGTGACCTTTACAGTGGAGTGAGACACTAATGACTCCATAATTCTGGTGCTGCATTGCAAATGTCTCTTGTTACAGTATTGTGTTCTAGAGCTGTTCGAGTACCTCCATGCTTTAAAATAAGGGATAGCAACTGCATTGGTAATACTGCAATATACAGCAAAAACTTCAGGACACTGCTAACCTTTTATCTTATATTCATACGTTGCTACCCAACAATTTTGTTGTTTGTGTTTTTGCTCTCTCATTCCACAATTCTTTGCACTGTTCATTTTTATGCATTTCCTCTCTCACATTGTGACTCAATCCCTTACTGATTTGCCCTGAAAGGGTTCAAAGTGAGTGCCCCTGACATGCCCTGTGTGAACACTGCAACACGGACATATACACCATATTCCTATCACGTGTACTTGTCATAATCAATGTAACTCTACCAGGTCTGGCACAATCTCTTCATTTAACTATATAGCTTGAAATAGCTATATAGCTTTATTAAGCTATTCAAAATAGCTTGATAAAGATATTTATTAGCAATTTTTCAGAAAAATGTTTTTTGTAAGAAATAGACAAAAAGTCGCAAGTATTTATTAATAACTATTCATATATGTACAACGGGCTATCAAAAGAACAACAGGAATCAAAGATAGTTCTAACACTGCAGCATTTGAATACTTTTAAGCAAAAGATTTCCATTCTTTGAGTAACAGTACACTACCTTGTGTGCATTGAGGCGTGGATAAATATGATTCCTTCTCCATTATTACCAATCAGTTATCTTGTTGACCATATCTGCCTCCTTTATAATTTCTTCGATTCTTCGATATCAATTGCTTTATATAACCCCAAAACTTTTAGAACTTTGAGTACAAAGTCCCTTTAGGAGATGCAATTTGATGAGTGATTTTTACATGCATTATTTTCAGAAGAGTTCAAGGTTGAATATTATCACTGCAGCAAGATGCGACTTTTTGTGAATGCTGAGAAAATAACACATCTAAGAAAAAAGTGTGATAACAAAAATAGCAAAATCAAGCTACTCTGAATAGCTTAATAAAGCTATATAGCTAAATCAAGCTATATAGCTAAAACAAGAGATTGCTATTGCCTTGTTATTTTAGCTCTTTGTTTTGTACGAATAGATAAGATCTTTTCCACAGCTACTTTCACTTCTACATTCATTTTCCCAAATGTCGCTTAAGTACGATCTCTCTGGTTGGTCAAAATTTTAATGAATATTTTTATTAGAAAGGTCGCCAGGAGATGACCCCGAATGGGGTTTCTTCAGCGATCTATGTAAGCGTATCAAAGGATCTGATTTTAATCAGATTGTGGGCTATCAAAACAACATCTGAAATTAAAGACAGTAAGAACTTAGAACATTGCAGCTTTTGAATACTTTTAAGCAAAAGATGAAATTTCCATTATTTGAGTAACTGTACACTACCTTCTGTGCGTTGAGGTGTGGATAAGTATGATTGCTTCTCATTGTACTGAATTACTACCAATTAATTAGTTTCACTTCTGTAACTGAATTTCGAGATACTTCTAAATTCTTGGAGGCAAGCGTTTAATTGGATAATTGAAAGGTCACCAGGAGATGACCCTGAATGGGGTTTCTTCAGATCCTTGTGTAGCGATCTATGTGAGCGGATCAAAGGACTGATTTTAATCAGATTGTGATAGCCCATAGTACATAAAGGAATAGTCAAATGCTTGCAGCTATTTGTCTATCAGGTCCAGTACAATTAGTACATTTAGCTACATAGCTAAAATTACCCACTGTAACTTTATTTCCCTACCACAGGTAGCTTTATTTAGCTATTTCAACGCAACTTTTCACAATTTTGCTTTTTATTTAAAAAAGACAAAAAATGTCTACCAATATTTCAAGGAAAAGATGTATTTCTATTGTTTCAGTAACTGTACACCTCCTTGTGTGCGATGAGTATAATTAATTCACATTGTGTTCATGTTAATCAAAACTGGTTTTCTTTGTTGTACGTTTCACTCAAGAAGTAACTTTTAGGTCACAAATTAACTGTTGTATCAGGGACCTATATACTAACTTAGTATATAGGTCCCTGGTTGTATATAGCCTCAAAACTTTTAGAACTTTGATTGCAATCGTGCAGAAAAAGACACATCTCCAAGAGTGATTTTTTCATGAATTGTTTTCAGATGAGTTAAAAGTTGAAAATTATCACTGCATCAAAATGCAATTTTCTGCACTTTCTAGGAAAAATGCTAATTTAAAAAATAAGTTTCATTTAGTAGCGAAATAAAGCTACTTCAGGTAGGTAAATAAAGCTATGTAGGTAATTCAAGCTACGTAGCTAAATCTAGTGATTGTACCAGATCTGTCTATTTCTTACAAAAACAATTATGTGAAAAACAACATATAAATAAATTTATCAAACTATTTTGAATAGCTTGATCAAGCTATATAGCTTTTTAAAGATATATAGCTATTGCTGCTAAATTAAGAGATTGTGCTGGACCTGGTCATTTTAAAAGGAAAGCTTAGCATAAAAAAGGTTGCATGTCAACATAATTATCCAGCATGTCGATAAAATTTCTTGCATGCTAACATATTAATTTTATAGCATATGACTACAATCTGCTCCAAATTTACCTTTCTGTCCTACTGATAAGCCTTCATATGGACTTTTTCTTTTGACGTCCAACTCGGTACCGGTACTTTTCTCTGAATTTTCTTTGCTTGATTTCTCTTTATTTTGGGTTGAATAACATTTCAAAATATTTCTTTTACAATTTAAAATGTCAACACATAATAGCCTTCCAGATATAAACACTGTCTTTGAAACACTGCAGTGTGTTAAAGTTTTCAAAATCCTCAATGAATGCATGTTGGAGGTGACTGTTAAAGTGAAACCGAAAGTAGGTTTGCAGAAGAAAGTTTCGATTTCGCAACAGGAATTTTTCGCTCTTACTGCGTTAGGCATATCGTACTTATTTGAATAAAATAGTGATACTTGTAAATTATCCTGATAACTGTTTGGATAAAATATCCAATTAGCATAAATTTTACTCAATTTTGATACGCGAACATTATCAGGGCAATGGTTATGGAAATGGAAAAAATTGAAAATGAGATCGCGTAGGCCTATATGTGTATTCAACCGGAAAACATTTTACTTAGCAAGATGGCGGACAAAGCTGACAAGTTTGAAGCATTGGAACAACAATTGGAGTTGTTTATCGAAAATACAAGACAACTGGGGATCATTGTCAGCGATTTTCAACCACAAGGACAAAATGTCCTCAATCAGAAACTGTAAGTTTGATCACGAATGAGACGCTACTTGAAGTAGCATAATTTAACAGGTTGGGCACAATTCCCAAATAGACAGCTGGACAGGTCCAGTACAACCTCTTGATTTAGCTATATAGCTTTATTAAGCTATTTAGAATAGCTTGATTTAGCTCTTTTACCACACTTTTTCTTAAATGTGTTATTTTTTCAGCATGTACATTGTACAAAAAGTCGCACCTGACCATGGTACAGTGATAGTATTCAACCTTAAACAATGCATTTAAAAACTGCTCAAATTGCGTCTCCTAAAGAAACTTTGTACTCAAAGTCTTAAAAGTTTTTGGGACTTTATATAGCAATTGATTTGTAACTATACAGTTACTTCTTGAATGAAATTATAAAGGAGGTCTATTATGGTCAACAAGATAATTGATTGGTAATAATTCAGCACAATGTGAATCAATCATACTTATAAAGAAATAAGGTATCATTTTTAAACATCTATTGGGCTATAAATACGGGTTGGTCACGAGATCAAATTCCATAAAGCCCGAAGGGCTTTATGGTCAATTTGATCTCGTACCAACCCGTATTTATAGCCCGATAGATGTTTTAAAATGATACCTTATTGCTTATATTTACATTTGTGACTTATTCATATTTTATATTTGCCTGATTATAATCTTTAACGCGTGAAACGTTTTATTTTTCAAACCCAACAGCACTTATTTGATCCACTGATTGCGCGTCGACCCTTTATGACGTCACTGAGAAATTACGTCGAACGTTTATGACGCGAGGAACCTGTGTTTATACGGATATAGATACGCGTTGCTTTCAATAGTGTTATGCAAAAGAAAACATTTGCAAATGTAAATATTTTCCTATGTAGCTCGTAACATGAGCTTTGATTGGTTGATAAAAAGCAAATAACATGACGTCACGATGCATTGTAGGGCGTAGTAAATCTTCTTGATAGCTTGAAACACAGTTGATTTATTTGTTTTTATTTACTTCAATATTGGGTACATAGGAAATAAATTTGTTATCCAGGTCCAATCAAGGGTGTACGGTACAGGGACTTACCCCAGGTTGTATTCCATACACCCTTCGCCCTTTGGCCTCAGGGTGTATGGAACAAAACCTGGGGTAAATCCCCGTACACCCTTGACTGGACCTAGATTGCTTGTTTTCTTTATAAAGAAGAGTAAGTGCAAGGATATTATCACATTGTAAGTATTGAAGAGTTAACTTACTATATGTATGCATAAAACTGTCGTGTTTATAGCTGCGTTTCACTGAAATACAGTAAAGAAATATTGCTTTTATGTAGACTTCTTACAGAAACCTGTGTTAAAAATGTGAATACCTTATGTGCTCGTTAAGTCCTACAATAACACAGAAGTATTTGTTCAACATATGTTATACATTTGTGAAAATGCCCAACATTTGGAGCCAGGCACATTATGGGAAGAAGAAGAATTTATAGTATTTACATGTATATTAAGACACTGTGAAATGATTTTCTTGTATCAATTTTGTTCCTGCTTGCAGCAGTGAGAGACTGATAATTTGGGTCAAAGGTTTGTCAAATGTTTATCATTCATTAGCATCATTGGAATCTTGAATTTCTATATTATATTGCTAATAAGAAGAGTTAATATTTTGACAGTGCGACCATTAGGGAGAGCGCAGATACCTATTCAGTGTTAATTTAGATCCGCCTCTTCAAACCGCACACTGACACTGACATTTGGAACGTCTAGACCCTGATATCATGACAATAATATTAATTGCATTTCCAAAGCAAAGTCTGAACAGTGCATTTTTTAACAAAAGAGCATTTAATCTACTACTGTATAAGCAGAATTTTTAGAGAGGATTCAATTTTAGCATTTTTAGTGAGGGGTTTGAGATTGCTAAATGGGGCTGTCACGGTTCCAAATTTTTCGGGTCGGGTCGGTTCTGTAAATTTTCGGTTCGGTTTCGGGTTTTTCGGTTCAGTTATTTACATCTATTTTACAATTTCATGAATTTAACTTGAAAAATCTTTATTTGTTACATTAAATTTACATTGAAAACAAGTCTTAACCATGCGAGCATCTAGACATCGGTGTGTAGAACTACTTGGCCTACTATTAGCCACAACCTGACCATTCCTGCTCGTTTTGATAATTATCTAATACTTCCGTGACAAGTGTTTTGTCATGGAATGAAGCAGATTTCAGTTGTGATGTTTATTTATCACTGTTATCGTCATCATTCCTTTGATTTCGACGCCATTTTTTGTATTGAACAGACTCTAATATGTGTAACGGGAGAGGAGAAAAATGCAGCGGACCAGACCGGGATTCGAACCCGGGCCCCCTGAATCTCCAGTCAGGTGCTTTACCAACTGAGCTATCTGGCCACCGGCGATCGAACCCATCTGACCGCCACATTCCTCCCTCCTTAAAGGTCTTTGGCCCCCCAAAGACTCCAACCCAGGCTCATCCCTGGCAGGCATCTCACCTGTCATTTCCAGGGCATGGCACGGCACCAAATGTAACGGGAGAGGAGAAAAATGCAGCGGACCAGACCGGGATTCAAACCCGGGCCCCCTGAATCTCCAGTCAGGTGCTTTACCAACTGAGCGATCGAACCCGTCTGACCGCCACATATGTAAACCAGACCCAAACCGAAATCTGGAAAAATGGAACCGAACAACTTGGACCGTGGTTCTCGGTTATTTCGGGTACTTGTGACAGCCCTATTGCTAAAATTGAAGATAGCTAACAGTTTAACCCGTATTCGTTGTAATAGCTATCTTTATTGAGATTATAAAATCGCTAAATTACTTCCTGCTAGAAATGTGTATCAATATTTTTTGGATAAATCACTAAATTATCGTCTCACCAAAAATTCCGCTTATACAATATTTCTCTGCAATATCCATTAATCAAGTTGAGTTTATTTTTTGATGAACTTTTGTTGCTACTGAGAGTAGGTTGTTTGCAGCAAGATGCAATTCGCAAAGGATTATGGGTCCAGAGGTTACTGTGGAAAAAAAATTATTTGGATCAATAAGCAAAGTCTGAAATTTTTCTTTGCCTAGGCTTTGTTGTTAGAGCTTGCAGTGCGAGAAATACTTTGTGCCACTCGCTGCGCTTGCCATTATATACGATGTCCCACAGACAGACCAAAAAAATATTCCAGCAAATCTTCAATCTCAGGGGCTTGGGGGTCGAATAAAAAAAACCTAAAAATTGTTCAATTTTTTCATATGCTGAGAGCAGGCCCCTTAATATGATGTCTGCATGTGAAACTTGTGGTATATGATTCATTTCATTTTGATTTCTTTTGCATTTTTCAGACACACAATGGTCACTGGTTTGCAAGAGATAGACAAATTAAAGACCCAGATGGTAGACATCCAGGTCCCTTTGGAAGTGTTTGAGTATGTAGTTTTGTATACAGTAAAACTCATTTAATATGAACACTGATAAAGCAAATTTACAGATAGAAGTGAAGGTTTTTGAGTCCTGAGCAAAATCTTTATAATTCCTTGTAAAATTTTTTGATTATAATGAGGTCTGAAAAAACGAATTCATGGACATAGTGAGTTGACTGTGTGTCCCGCAGAGATTGAAAATAACAAAATTTACAACTTCAATTACAACAATTTTTAAAGGTTTCAAAATATAAAACGTTAAATTGACAAGTATCTTTATTTGAATTTTATCAAACAAAAAATTTTGATCACGTAGGTAAGTCTTTATTTAATACTTCCCTGTACATGTACATATTCTTCAGTTCATTGAAAATATTCTATTCGACCTTTCAAGAGAAGCATTCATATTTCTGATTTTTTTATTTTATTTTATTTTTTTTTTTTTTGTATAATTTGATATCATTTTACAATATAAAAGAAATATAATTTTGAAAATTTGTAGTTCTTTTTCAAGTGATTTAACTGAAGTTAAGAATTTCTCAAAAATTGGACAACTGCCAAACTGCAGGAATATCCTATTATATAGTATGACCTTAAGGAGGTTCGATCCTGAGCTTTTGAGCAGATTTTGGTCTGGACTTTTATTTATAGAATTATGCATCATTTTTAAGTTCAAACATTAAATCTGGATTCTACAATGCAAATTAAACTATATCCAATGAAAAAACTGCAATTAAATTCCATTCAAATAGGATTAAGTCAGGGACTATATTTTGTGGCAGAAGGTTTTATAGGAGAAAATGATCAATTTTTCCCTTTTGAAATATATACAGTACTGTTAAGTTTAGATTCCTATTTTTCCATGCTGGTTGCACACGGAGCTGTTTTTTGCAGTGAAATGTTTTATGCTGGTTCTGAAATATCTATTAAATTATTTCTTATTAATTCTTTCATTATATTGTGACAAATATAGTAAATATATTCTGAAAGTCCAGGAAAAAATTTAGCCAATTTTAACATAAAATTAACACTTTTTTAGTGATATCTAAAAATTTACATCATAGACCCCCACTTTTGTTTTTCTTTTCTGAATATATAAGATAACTTTGATCAATCTGCCTAAATTCAGCAAAAGTTTAAGACTTTAAAATAATTTTCTTGCTTGTTAAATTTTTAATGCCAGAAAAATCACAGTTTTTGAGTGCAGAAAGGTCAAATAATTGATTATGCGAAGCAATTTGAAACTTTTTCTTAGTCACAATTTTAAAGTGTCTTTTTTCAAATATACTAATAGTTTATTTTGTCTCATGATTTATTTGGATAAAATCATTGGAAGGAAAACATCAAAGATTTGATTTTTGATTAAGAAACAAATTTCAGTGCAAAAAGGTCATATTAAATGTACTGTAGCGCCAAAAGAAGCATATTGACCCCCATTTTTTGTTTTGATTTTTAATTAAGCTATGTGTGTAGAAACTAAAAATTTACTTGACAAAAAAAGTTTAAGACTTTAAACTGTTAAATATCAGGATCCAACCTCGTTAAAGTAGTCTTCAGGTTAGATGCCTGTGTTTGTTAGTACTTAGCATTTATATGGTAACAAGATGCATCACACTGTCTTTCAAATTTTTAGACATGTCTTTTTGTTTCCATAGCTACATAGACCAAGGGAAGAATCCAAATTTGTACACCAAAGATTGTTTGGAGAAAGCACTTGCCAAAAATGAACAAGTGAAAGGAAAGATTGATAACTTTAAGGTGGATAATGCTCTTGAATTACAATGTTGAATCTCTGTTTGCTAGAAAATTAGACAATACAGCTTAAGATGTGGGGATAAATTAAACTACTTATTTATGTTTTATTAGTCCCCTACCGGTGAAACCGGAGGGGCTATAGGTTTCTTCTGAGTCTGTCCGTCAGTCTGTCTGTCTGTCTGTCTGTCCATCTGTCCCTCTGTCTGTCTGTCAGTCTGTCCCACTTGGTTTTCCGCACTTTTCTTCTAAACGCTTGCAGATATTGAGCTGATTTTTGGTATGTAAGTGTATCTTGATGATTTACAGATCAAGTTTGCATTTCGTTCCGCTTCATTGATTTTTGACGGAATTACGGCCTTTTCAATTTTTAAGGGTTTTCCGCAATTTTCTTCTAAACGCTTTCAGATATTGAGCTGATTTTTGGTATGTGACTTTACCTTGATTAGTTATAGATCAAGTTTGCATTTCGTCCCGCTTCATTGATTTTTGACGGAATTATGGCATTTTCAATTCTTAACGGGAACCAGATTACACTTGCCGGTAGGGGACTAGTATTGCTAATGCAATACTCTCAGAATGCTTGTTTCAGTTTTATTTTGCATTTTGATATCTACGAAGCATGCTAAATATATGATAATATTGAACAGTTTATATATAAAACTTGGCTGGAAGTTTGTAATGCTTTTTTTATTGTTCCAGAAATTCAAAGCTGCCTTACTAGTGGAGCTGGATAAAGTTTTCCCACATGAAATCAACAACTACCGAGCCATGAGGGGGGACGACAAGCCAGCATAATCTCCCCTGTACAGAAATGTATAAACCTTCACATTGCTGTGTTCACAAGTGGTTCTAAAAATGTGCATTAAAACTCATGTTGTAGTTAACTGATATCCTCTGTTGTCAGAACGATGCATTGTAGTCCAACTGACCGAAGGGGAGACTTGTCTTTTATTGTATAAAAATAAATTTAAATTGTTTACTTGTCTTCAGAGTAGGTTTATTATTGAGTGGAAATCAGAAATTGGCTATACAGTGAAACTTGGTTAAATTATTATGTCTTTAATCCTTGAAGAAGAATGCAGTGTTAAAGATTAGTTGTAATGAATTATTGGTTAAAAGGAAGCAAAAAGTATTTTGTAATGTCAGTCTTATGGCATGAGTGGATTTTTTTTATTGTTTATATAAAGTTAAAAACCAGACACTTTTTGGTGACTTAACAAATTCATTTTGTTGAACATTTTTCATGTATTGCTTACAGCCTCATAAAGAACAAAATATACCCATTTTATTTGCAGTTATATCAAAACTGCATAGTAGGTTGTGATATGCATTGAGCTAAAGGAACCTTTTCATGACAGAATTTCAAGCACTTCATATGGTTAGAAGTGATAGAAAAACTTCATTGATGAATAAGAGGCCCATAAACCTAAAAGTGTCACGTGGGTGCTGCTGAGGAATTTTTTTTGTGAGCCACTCTGTGAATAAGTGTATAATTAGGAAGGGGTAAGGGTGAACACAATGAGAAAGATAAACTTATTTGAGTGTGGATTAGGGTAGAGTGGAGGAGTTCTTCACAATAGCAAAAAGATAATGGTTAATTAAACATTAATTGCAAATCGAAAAAGTGGGAACCTGGTCATTTACACTGTCTTACCATCATATTTTCAATACTTTTTCCACATACTTCAAAAAACGGGGGGATTGGACGGGCCCACATGCCAATACTATGGGTTCTTTTACTTATTTCTAAGTAAATTTTGAGAGCCCTTGGTTCAAAAACAGTGATTTAGACAAATATGAATTTAAAGAATATGAGTATATTATCATCCTGCCCTTTGAAGTGATTTTTAAAAAGTCCCTTATAATTCAGTATTAAGAATTGACACCTCATTTCTACCATTCTTTTCATTTCTTCCCTTCATAAAGCTATTGGTGCATATTGACAGTTTCTAGCCTTGTATATGCTGATACGTAGGCATTATACTAGCATCCAAAGAATTTATAAATTGTGTAAGTTGAGAAACAAAGTGACTATGTTGTTAAAAGATCGTTATACCTGTACAGTACATAAAGATTGTGTTAAAAGATAAGAATACACCACGTTTTGAATTTGCCCCCTGATAACGAGAGCAAAAGGGGCGAAAATATAACCATGATAACAGCGGCGAAAACTTTTCAAAATTATTCTGGCATTGAAAGTAAATGTATCTATGCATGTACACAATGAAATATATATTACAGTGGGTTATCGCTATGTGTTTCATAGAGGGATGACAGGGGCCAACAAACACTTGCCAATTTCTCTCAACACATTCATACTATTATATATATTTACATTCACTGTAATTTTCTATGTGAAATCCTTTGGAAATCTATAATATTCAACCCTGTATAACACACTGGAAGCCTTGTTACTATGCGGTAAAATACACAATAGAAACTACATGTATACACTAGAAACACCAGAATGTATATTGCTTTGGCTCAATTTAATTAAAAACAAATACCTTATTACAATGTTGTAAAAATATAACAATTGTACATTTATAATAAATTTGTCATTTTTCTCCCCTTGCAATGTTTATTTGCATTTTCCACATAATACAGTTCTGAAAGGCGCTAACGCGCGGTTTTCGAATTGTCTACACGGCCAGGTGCTGTTAAATACGACCGAAAACATCCAAAAATAAGAGTTCAGTATGTGTTAAATAGCACGCAGATACGTACATGTATATACTACACATTTATTAAATGGGTTCGAGGGCAACATGCGTTCTGTCGGACCCAAGAACCAAACTGTTTCCCCTTGGCCTTAGGGCGAAGGCAACAGTTTGGGTCGGAGTATTCGGCAAAACACATTTGCCAAAGAACACGGTCTATGAATACTTTGTTAAACTTTTTCTTAGTTTATGAAATAGCTTGCTCTGGCTTCCATGTTTACAACAAAAATGACAATAATTTGATGTAAAGAACTACGCACGCTAACTCCAGATTCCCACCTACATTTTACACCCATTTAAATCAATACTAATGGCAATTTGGTCGTAAAATCTTTGTTGAATGCAAGGAAGAGTTCAATGGTAATTGATTAATAATTTTTATACCAGTGTTAAATAGTTAATTACTCTTAATTCCAGCTCTTTTTATAACGGGGGTAGACGATGTTTTCCATTGAAATCAGGCTTGAAAGCATCAGCATATTTTAAAATATTCTTGGATATGGATAAATGTTCTTTAAATCTTTCCTTATGTTTTACGCATAGGCCCTATAAAATTTAACATATGTAATTGATAAAATACAACGTTAAAGTTGTAAAACCCTTCGAAATTGGTGAAAAAATGAGCATTTTTGTCGTTTTTTGTCTGTAAACATATGTCCCCCCCCCCCCCCCCCGTGAAACACAAAAAGCTTTGGTATGAATTTGTGAAATATCAATCCATATTACCCGTAAAAAGGAATTTTTGTGTTTCACGGGGGGGGGGGGGGGGAGATGTTTTAAAAATATTTTCCGTTTTCCGATGATTTCTATAGTGAAAAACTCAAGTTTTACTCAAATTATAGAGTTATCTCTCTTTGTTTTCCCAAATAAGTAATGTTTTATGAAAATTCATATAAATATCTATATAAATATGAAAAATCATTTAAATATGTTAACTTTTGAAAATTGACTTGGAGATCGGCGGGAGAACAATACTATCGTTCGCAGTTCTTTCGTTAGCCGCACTGGGGATTTAAACTCGGTCAATTCCGCAACTGTCACACCAACGAAGTGCAAAGAATCTGTTTGCTTTTATGTTAACACTTTTTTCAAAATGCCACACCCTCCATAGGAGCTGGTCTTCCGGATTGTTAAATTTAAAATAAATTAATAAAATTTTGAATCTACTTTGAATACACTTAAAAAGTAGTTACAATAAAGATTCTGACACTTTCAGACAAGAAAAACCATGCATGTTAAAAAAACGTACCACATCTATATACAGAGTTTATGTATATAGGTTGTGGTACGTTTTTTTTTTTAGAAAAAATATCAGGGGAAATTTTATACAGATTGCATTTTAATGACGCTCCATTTCATGAGATATATCATACAATTATTGCTATTTTTTTAGTCAATACGATGATTTAGCCACCTGAGGAGAACAATATTCACCTCGCCCTTTGGGCTCGGTGAATACTGTACTCCTCAGGTGGCTAAATCATCGTTGGGCTTGGTGAATATTGTACTCCTCGGGTGGCTAAATCATCGTATTGACTAAAAAAAAAACCCAAAAACAGCAATAATTGTTTTATTATATGATTCATTGCGATTAAATGATTCTCATTAAGCAATCCGTGCTATCTTACTTTTTACATTTTCTGAAGTCCTATACATGTAGCCATATGCAATGAGAGAAACTTGGATAAAACAGAGACAGATAAAATAAACAATCAGTTGTTCTTAAATCCATTTTAAGTAGAAAAAAATGTCAGACACGTATATAGGATCGACTTTTTTAAAAAGGGGTATCACATGAAAAAAAGACGACCTACCTGAAAAAAAACCCTTGATAAGCCCCCCTCCCCCAAAGTGGAGATATCTTCCAAATCCAATTTTTATTTTTGGGGGGTGGTGGAGGAGGGTGTTAAGGTACGTTTACCGGGGGCACCAGCCCTTCATCGAACATTTTATACTACATAAGAAAAAAAATACGTTCATAAAAAAGTGTGGGGATGTGGGCAGGTCCCCTGCAACCCTCCTCCCTCTCCCCTCCACACCCACTCCTCAACCCAGATTCTATGTTCCTGAATGATATGTTCACCTGAATTGAAGTCAAGTGCAAGTGAAATAACTTTCCAAAACTATTTGCATCACTTTGAAATTTCCCAATCTATTTTTAATCCAATGTGGAAAAATATTCAACTGGAAGGTCACATGGAGGTGAATATAATGTAGTTTTTTTTAAACATTGTTGGATCTTAGCCAGTCAGAGAGATGGGAATCATTCAATCATATAATAACATAAATTATTACTCAAAAGTATTGACTTATCTCTTGGTATAGATCTATTGTCACATGATCAAGGGCAGACGAATGATAAACCTTCGATACAGATTATTCCAAGACGATACCATAATTTGGATGTACTGGTTATCTTTAATCCAGCTCAAGGTAACTGAATGATAAGCAAGAACTATGCATGCGCAGATTTTTATTCTAAAGTTCCACTGTGATCTGGAATAAAGCCTTTTCACAGTACTGAAAAATGATAAAGTGTAATTTCCACAGTTCACATACTTTATAACTTGAAAAGTACAGCCACAATACATATCAGCTTATTTGCTGACCAGGGTCACTTCGAGAAATCTCTATCTCAGTTCAAGAAAATTTAGCAAATTGTGTTTGCATGCGGTTGTTTGGAATCTTAAAAAGTTCCTTGCAATATGTTGGTAAAAGAAACAAGGATATTTGAAAACATATGGAACAATCAGAGCCATTGCTGTACAATGTAGGTTATGGATATATAATGTAGATTTATCTCGGACAGGGGTCTGACTATTACATTACAATGTAGGTTATGGATATACAATGTAGATTTATCTTGGACAGGGGTCTGACTATTACATTACAATGTAGGTTATGGATATACAATGTAGATTTATCTTGGACAGGGGTCTGACTATTACATTACAATGTACATTTATCACGGACTAGGTATGGGTTTAACTATATTACATAACAATGAAAAATCTATCTTAGAATCTACCTAATGCATTGCAAAGTTACTTAGATTTATCCAGTCATGTTATAGATTTTACTTTTGGGTTACATTGTAAATTTATATTTATCTTGAACAGGCTATGGATCTATCTGCAATGAAGATGTATCTTGTACAGGTTTCTTACTATTGTACGAGTATTACAATAATTGTATTTCTCACAGTGATCTAACTATTGTATATAACAATGTCGATTTATCTTGAAGAGGGATCAAACTAGTTA